AGCGCATGGGTACTAAAAGTAGTTTTTATCCAATACAACGATAATAATGTGAAACCGCAGCTTCAAAAATAACTCTGTCTGAAGTCTCTTTTGCTTGTGGAATGCAGAATCGTTGTTACCTGTTTGATGCTGTGTGTTCGACGTTTTATTTGAAATTGTTGACTGAAAAATAATTTTACACAATAAAAGAAACGCGATGCTTCGTGTTGCATTCCTCGAGAACAGCGCAATTTGATATTTTATCACGTTTCCATCAAGAACAGTCAGTATAATGCTTAATTAGAAATGTAAGAATTAAGTTAGGTCGTCATTTGTGTTTTATGTTTGGTTGTTTTTTATGTAGTAAATTGCTCAATATTTATATTTTGTAAAGTAACTTAAAAATAGTAGGGAGTGAACTTGCCAAACATTATGAGGAATTAATTGAAAATGAAAAGACATTTTTGGAAATATTTACCAAGATGACCTTTATGTCCCCTGTAGGTACAGAGCATTGCATACTTAATTTATGGGGGAACACAATAAAATACATTTTTTTTGTTTCTACTACATATTGTTGGTTCATTGTTGAAAGTATTTTGAGACTCAAAATTAATGCGATTGATTTTTTTCGATTTCATCCAACTATCAACGACTCAGCAAAACATCGACGAATACGCATTGCAATACAATTTCCATACTTTGTTCAGGGAAATTGAACATTTTCGTGAATATCCGAATTAGTTTTTGTTTAGTATCTGAACAGTCACGTACACATTTGGCTTTTGAGTGTCCAAGTAGCCGTGCGCCCTCCAATGAGAAATGGCGGTACTATGTGACCCTTGGTTGGCAAAATATGGCGTCAGTGAAAGAAAGTAGTCTAGTGAATGTTAATTTTATATCTGAATTTGCGTCCCACAATGGAAATCATATATTAGCAGTGTATAAGGTAATTATACGGAAAGTGACTTTCAGTTGATTGTGCAGAAGTTGAATTAGACGTGTCTTGCTTGGGGAAAATAGTTCTTTACTAGTTCTTGCTGAAATTTATCCGCCATGTTACGGTCTTTGACGGATGGTTCGGTTTCATTCCTTTTCGATTTTGTTGTGTGTGGTGCCTATACTTTGTCTTGTTATTGTTATTTTGATGAGATCATGAAATAGCGTTCACAAGAAATGGTGAAAGAAGATTGTTAAGTCGCTACGAAGAGGATGAATATGTGTTAACAAGATGAGCGGTAGGCGTAACTTCAGGAGCTTGCTCATCACTTGTTTGTGTATAATGTGCTTTGCGATTCTCGTTCCCTTTACTTCGTGTATGTGTTTGTCGCTGTGCGCGAAGTTATCGCTTTTGTGATGCAGTCATGCTACCTGCGATGTTCAGTGTTTACAGTAATTTTGTGGATGCTGCACCTGATGTGGTAATTCAGGAAACAGGTGTGCCTCCTGAAAGTCGAGATGTTTAATTGTTACTTACCTTACAATAACAGAATGTGGAGTACCCAATACCTATATCTTATCGTTTTCGGAATTGTAATATTATAATAAAATGTGCTGGAGTATGTTGTCTGAATTGTTATGGTTTTGCATTGCAATGACATTCGTGGTGCATATGTTTTTGTAGTGAAAGATGTAGTCTACAGATTTTAAATAGAATATATCATGTTAGTTCATTGCACAGTAATGTATTTTGACAAATTTGTGGTGGGAGGTTGACAGATAATTCAGTGAAGCAAGTGTTGACATTTAATTTCCATGTTTATACTTGTTCTTGTCTACATATATTTGAAACATTCTTTCAGATCTTTTTTTAAATAGATCTGATAAAAATATTTGAAGGACAATTTTCATACCAAATTATCGATAATTAATGGATTGAGTAAATTCAGTCTTCTGGTAGTCATGTTTGATCTGTTAGCCTTATTACACATCCGGAATACCCATTAACCTGACCCATTGTCATTAATATGCATTCTTATCTGGCATAGCTTTTTAATTTGTTTTTGTTTTCTTTTGTGGCTGGTGTAAAATTTACTTATATATGTGCTAGTGATCTGTAATGCATGCAGTGTGTTGTGTGCAATATAAATTCATAATATTAGTGAGTGTTGAATGTTTAATAGTTATGGATGAAATTTGTTTCTACATCTACCAAGTAATTGTGAATGTTGACCTATATTCTAATTTGTCCTTTGTTTTGTCTTGTGTGTTTTGTTCGGATGCACTTACTAGGTTGGTTTGTGTGTATGTGAAAGTTTTCTAGAATAAAAAATTTACTCGAAATATTTTAGATAAAACTTGCTGTGCAGATAACTATCATACATTTGACCAATGCCACTTTTGGTGGTAATGATGTGAACATTCACTTGGAATGTGGATGATGGCAATACTGTTCAGTATTTTCTAGGAGTAATTAGTTTTTTTTTATTCGTTTGAAGTAGTGGATATTTTAGATAGTCTGGATAGTTTGTTTTTTTTGTTTATCAACATTTTTATTTATTCAATTTTAAGTTGTATTATTGGTTGCATTTAGTTCAGTTCTTTGTGCAACCAGGAATTTTGTTTTCATAGTTTTACTGTTGACTTGATGTATATAGAAGGGAATGTAAATCCTTGTGCTGAGATTGATTTAATTATTTTTTTAAATCTGTTTAGGGAATTTTCATATGCTATTCATTCAATTGTTGGTGGATGTTGCTTTAAATACGTAAATTAAACATATGAATGACTTGAGTTTAAAGTGCTCTTTGCTTTTGGTCTAATTTTATCTTCTATGGTGGTGCATGAGAAAAAATCTTTATTTCTATTCTTTTGGCATGGTAATATTGTTTCCATCTTGATTACACAAGATAGAATCAGTTACAGTGATTCATTGTGAGGAAGGATTAGTAGTGGTTTCATAGGAATATGTTCATTGTCAAGACGTTGCAGTATTATTGTTCTCTTAGGCCATCTTGTTTAGGACAGTGCGTGTTAGTGAAGCTGTGCTAGTTTGCAGTAACGATCTTCACAAAGAGAGGACTGCAGACTTTAAGTTTGTGATTCTGGGCCATTTTCTGTCTTGGAATGCAAGTCTTTCTTCATCTAAATACTATATTAATTCGTAAATAGCTGGTTCAACACAGAAAGCAGAAGATTTTTCACATTTGAACTTTTTTTAGCATGTTTAAATGAGCGGTAGTTGATATTCTGCAACATTTGTAGTGTGGCCTAGATGTGTGTGACAAAAGTAATATGCATGAAGGATTGCATGCACTTACAATATGTTACAGATAAGTTAATTGTATGTGTGCTTTATTCAGTGAATTAAATCTGAGGCTGGCTGTTCCTTTTGGAAGTCTTACTTTTTGCTAGGGCATGTGGAAGTGAAATTCTTAATTGGTATGAACCCTTATCCTGACTACCTGTTGTGCCACTGTGTGCATGGGTGTATATGTATGTGTGAATGTATGACATCTTTCCAATGTGTGGGGAAATATACAAGCCTTTCTTCTTGTAGGAAGGCTCTTGAAGAGAAGAGGGCTTGTTGATGAGACCCTATGTGCCCCACAATGGCCGGCTATTTAGAATATTGTCAGTTACATGTAAGTAAAGTGTAAGTGCTGTATATGACCACTAAGTGGTAGACTGGAATGCTAATTGTCCACGGTATTGTAGAGTAGCTCTGAACTTTCAGTGGAGGCTTACATTGGAATTAGTTCATTGTGAAACATGTCTTATGTCAATGTAGAGCAGTGCTGAGTAAAGGTGGAGGTATTCTTTCTTACACGAAACTGGTCATACATGGACCTGCTGCTTAATGTTTGTAGTACATTCTATGAAATCTGTAGCTGTAGCTATTTCATGATGGGGAAGTGAGATGTGATGAGTGTTTGTGGCTATGGAAGCAGTGCATGTGGCTCTGAACAAAATGCCGAGACCTGTATTTCACATGAGAACATGGTGGCACAGGTAATTGTTATGCTGGATTATGGAAAGATTTTCGTGAAGCCTTTTATAGTATTACATTAGTAACAATTGCTCTTGAAAGAATTAAACTTATGTATCTCTTGAAGAATAGAAAATTCAATAATTTAAATAATTGTCTTGAAGTAAATAAATATCTATTGGCTTTACAATGTTTTATAACTTTTATATTGCAAAACAAGTGGTAGCATTAGAAAATTGTTTTAACTTTATAAACATTTTAGCATAATGTATCTAGTAAATTTTCTCCTTGTAGGGTTTTGGAATTTGGTGAAATGTAGTAGGAGAACTTCTTCATAGTAGTTTGTTCTGAACTTTGGCCTTTGCTCATTATTTCTCATGTGAATTGTTTTATGAGAGTTGTTTCATCTTGTTTATTATCTGATTTTGTTGCGAAGTTTCTATTATTATTGGTTTTTAGTCACGAAGTTCCATCTAAGGTTTGTGGTATGTTTTTTTAATTTTTTTTAGTCTGAAGCATTTTTCGTGATTCTTTATATGCTTACACTCATAGTGAATTTTACTTGCATGTTTTTCATGCTATTCTGAATGTGAAACAAAATTGTCATGCTATTATTTTTATTTTCTAAATGCATTTGCCAACTTTCACTTGTCCGTTTATGTATTCTTGTTCTCCTTGTATTTTTTTATGTTAATTTTTTTGTTCTGATGCAATTAACTATTTTGTAGTACTCCCTTTTATATTAGAAGTATTGCAGTAATTAGTGAAGTAGAGATGGAGGTTAAAATTAGCTTGGAGAATTTTAAAGATTTGTAGAATATGTTTGTAATATGGTTTCCAAGGAAATAAAAGCCTAAAGTTCTCATCAAAATTTTTTTTTTGATTGAAGTACAGTAAAAAAATTGGTGCTTGATAAGAAATGATGAAGGTGCCACCTAAGTACTGCCATAAGACATACATTCAAGTAGGTTAATAGAAATTGGTGTGTGTGTGAGCGCGTGCTGTTAATACAGATTTGAGTGTGATTGTAATGAATGCCTATGAGATGTAAGGACTGGGGAGGGAGAAATAGTGGTGTGCAGCACTCTTGATTATGAACTGGGTCGGAGTTGACAGAGGGCTTTCAGTGGACGCAGAAGCACTTCATGGTCTGCAGCTGAACCCTCCTCAACACACTGCTGTTGATGTAAGCATGCAAAATTTGTAAATGAATAATATATTTTGAAGGATGATTCTTTATAGCATTTTGTTGTTTTGGCAAGTTTGTAGAGGAATGGAGGTGTGTGAATGTATTTGTTTATGAGGACAAGGGGGGGAGAAAGTGAACGAGTGTGGGTTTGTGAAAGTAAGCACCAATAAAAAATTAATGATGTACATTTTAGATTTAGAGAAAGCTGTTAAAAATTTTGTTATATGGAAAGTAATTTTTAATGTAATTTGGTATTCCATATGAAGTTTCCCTTCTAGTATGCAACCCAAAATTAGTTGGTTGTATAACCTGTCACTGCAGGAAATGTTAATGTGTTCTCATGTGCAAATTGTATTGCATTTTAACTTTGTGTAGCATTCATTTGTTTTTTTGAAAAGCACAAAATTGGATTATCTTTTTTTGAAGCATTGGCAGAAACAGGATAGTCTCTTTGATTTTCAAAAACGATTATTTTTTTCATTACCTGTAATTATAGTAAAAGCATCTGGGAGATTTGACATTAGAATGGTTGATGGTGAATAGGAGACATAGGTATCCCTTCAGGACATTTATTGATATATTCTACACCATTGTGAAATTACAAATTTGGTGACAATAAGCAAGACCAATTTCAGTTTCTTGCATTTACTGTTGGCGTGATTATGAAAAAGGGTTTTAGGTAGAAATTGTATTGGGTAGCATGGAATGAACTATCATCACATCATATGTTATAGTTTTTGAATTAAATCTAAATATTTTGATATTGCAAATTTTCTCATTTGAACGTTTCTTGAAGGTTTAATTATCAGTAGGTTTCGTGAAGGTTTAATTATCAGTTTCTAGTATACAATTCAATGCCTTATGCCCTTGGGGGGAAAAAGATTTTCCTTACTTTTTCTTTGTATATTCAAATTTGGAGGTTTTATTGGTTTGTGTATTTGATAGTGTATGAATGCTGAAGTGGTTGATCGTCTTACTGCATGATTGTTATGGTCAGACTTACACAACTCATAAAACTCCACATCATGAAAGGAATTGGCAAGATGTAATGAATGGAAACGTTGGACAATCTAACTAGTTTATAAAATGATATATTATAGAGAAAAACTTATTAATAATGTTGGAAGAAAAAATACAATGCAGACTTCATTTCAATTTATTCTGTGTTCTTAATTTGAATGTGCAGAGTTATTAAATGCCAATATATTAATGTTCTGTTCCCATTATGAATTAATTTTTTCTTTTTCTTGCAGGGACTTGAGGCAACCTTGAAGGATTCGAAGAAGATGTACCAGGATAAAGTGAATGCTCTCCTTGCTGCATGGGAGCATGTCACAACATTTGTTGCCTCCTCGGTTCAAGATGCTGTTCAAGATAACCTGATTGATTGGGTGCATCGGTAAGTTACCAGATGCTAGAAGACAATGGATTTGAGCTGGGTTAATTTTAGTGTGTGTATGATGATTACTGAACCCTGTTATCTTGGAGGAAATGTTGGAGTTGTAAAGATTTGCAACAATTCTGAGTTGGCATTTACTACAGAAGAATTCTGACTATGTATTTGTTATCCTTCCTAGAAATAAAGGCAGAAAGTTATGTTTATGAGAGATTCATTTTGTGATATTATGATATTTCAGATGCGGGGGTATAAATATGCATATTACTGTATTACTGCACTTCTGTTTATGTAAAATTTGTTTAGTTTAATTCAGAATTTGTGCTCAAAAAATTGTGAATAATTGTTTAATATAATAATAGTAATAATCACAATAAATCCCATTACTAGCAATCCTAATTTATTTATCTCTTAACAATCCAGTGACAAAGGTGCAGTAATTTGCAAACTTTGACACTTGACACTTTGGCATAATTTCATTTGTACATACATTCACATTACTGAGAAAGTAATATTAGTATGTAAACATCATCATCATAATAATAATAATAATAATAATAATAATAATAATAATAATAATAATAATAATGTGTCATAATACTTAATACCTAATAAAATGTATTAATTATTATGACACATAATTTAAAATTTTAGATTAAAGATATTAGAATTTTTGGACTGAGTTTAGAAATTCAAATTTAAGAATCCCTTTGTACTATAGAAACAGTTTCTGTCCGGCACATTCTTTAATTGAACTTTTAAATCTTTTAACTTCAAATTCCAAATGTCAGAATGTTGTAAACACCCTGATTGATGTATGTTTGCAGCTATTTAGTTTTGACGTGTCTACAATTCTTTTTCATATCTATGTTGCCACTGTCTTGTTTGTAGTGTGCGTGCATTTAGGTGAAAGCTTGTCAAATTGTCTTTAAAACGGAGCAAACCGAAATGCATTCATTATGATAAGTGTCAAAAAAGGGCTAATTTGTGAATTTGTTAGTTATCCACACTATCCATAATGGGTGGACCCAGTCCTAAGTAGAAACAGCTTTAAAGCTGGATGATGTGCACACAAGGTGGCTAGTATAGATGAAGTACATTACAGTGACAAGGAATAGTAAATGCTGTGTGTTGAACGGATATCAGACTGCTCTAGGGGAAATTTCAAAGGCAAGTGAGAGAGGTGTGCAATTTCGAGTTTCACAGCGTCAATCATAAATTTTTATTTACAAGCTACCGACTAACCTAACCTTGCTATTTACCTCAATCGACGCTTCGTTCTGCATATCAAAGTTTGGGTGACGAGGCTTCGGGCTTTGCAATTTACACAAAATAACTTTGTCTGAGCCACTTACAATTCCCTGTATGTACGCACAAAACATAGACCATGGCGTTCCTTTAGTCGGCGCCGAGGCCAATGCCCAATTAGCTGGATAGATTTGAGCCGTTCGTGGTCATTCATACAGCTTTAGCCAAATCGTGTTGGAATTAGCTTAATCTGTCGAATAAGACACATTTGCACCAGTGGTGCTACAAAGATTGTTTTGTTTTATTTAAAACGTTACGTAACATATTATCCAAATAATATTTCAGTCTACTTGACAGGGGGACGGGGTTCCGTTATCCAAGCAGAAGTTTCAAATTTTGATGTCACTGCAGAGTTGCCGATACTTATTGAAAAGAAGCAAATGAAAATTGAAGAGCGCCATTCTTTGGTTATGCATCGTGTATGCGGTTCTGTGTCGTCCACTGTTATTACCTCTTATTGCGATTTGTTTGTTGGTGCTGCTGTCTAAAGGCGGCTCTACACATTTGGCATTCGCCGAGCAGCTCGTCCAATCCCGAACAGCTGATGTGTTCGGCAAATGTTCGCTCCCTTTGATGTGTTCTAAAGACCGACACGCGGTAGGTTGGGCGAATACCGGACGTTCGCCTCTCGGCGAATCGCAAGCAACCCGTCCACACTACTAGGGATTCGGCGAGCGGATGTTCGGGATTCACCGAATGCAGCATGTCTGGATCCGCCTTAATGCGAGAACGATCTCTCGACCACGTGTCTGCCGCCCGACTAAGTGGCAATATCGCTGTACCCCACCCTTAGCTGTCAATTAGACAAATATTATTTTGGCAATAGTACCAGTTCCAATCGCAAAAATATTCTCGATCAGCCAAAGAATATTTGGCGTGGCTGAGATTTGAACCAACACACGTAGGTTCCGCGGGCAAGGGACGTCTACTAGACCACCAGGTTATTTGCATTGGAACACGGTTTTTGTGACTACCCTAATCATCTTCGCATGTATTAATGTTTCTTGTTGGTCTTCCTTCCATGTTGCGAAATCTTCTGGCTTTCTTAAACCCCTCTGAAAGTTTTGCGCGTATAGCAGAATATACTGGAAATTAGTTACGTTTAATGTCCTTGTGATCGAGTGGTGAACTGGAAACTCGTAGATCTCTGACCCTCCGTTTCGCGGATTCACTGGGAGAGAGCGACAAGTCTCCAAGTTTGGGAAGTTTTTGCTAAGAAACGGAAACGTTTGGATGTAGAATGCTTACGTCTATCAATGTGATTTTTTTATTTCCTTCTCTTGCAAAACAGATTCGCACACGCCAGGCGATGAACCAAGATTCTGCGCGGTCTCGTTGAACCCGCATCGTGTAACATTCTCAGTGTTCGTTTTAACGTTGTTTCACTTGATACAATGCCGTTTGTTTGAGATTCTCTCCGGACCCACCCATTCAAAAATATCGGTCTGAATTGTCAGGCAAATTCGCAGTGGATGCCGAGAATACGACCGCGAATTTACAGATCTCTATACGATACGTAATTGTGTAGAGAAGTTATCAAAGAAAGGACCGCTTTGACAGCTGCTATCCACATAACTACAGGTTCCTTACACCCTATTCATCTATGCGTTCGTTCAGTGAGCTCATTTTCAAATGGATTCATCAGTCTGCAATGCCAACGCTCTACACGACTTTCATTTGCTTCCCGACCTGTGAAAGTGGCCCCTTCTTTGAGAACTTCTCTACACAATTACGTATTATAGATACGTGCGATATTTTTACTATCTTAGCAGCTTATTGTTACGTCAACATCTAAGGAGTTTCGTGGCAGGGAAAGACTATGTTAAAATATAAAACCTAACTGACGTGACCTAATCTGCGAATGTATCGACGACGACGGTAATTTTTGGCTGAGATATGTAGGAAAAAAAATTCGTTTTATATTCTGGTAAATAGTATTTTCAGTTATCTAAATTTCAGAGGTATTAATCTAAATCGAACCTATGTCTTAAGTAGGACTGGGATAGTTATATATGCGTACTGAATTCATGTAACGTACTGAATAGCTGTTACACTTAATACCTAAGTAACATATACTGTACCACCACAATGCAAATTTTGGTAAAACTCACCAGAATTATGGACTGGGACTGTTGCTGAAGGTCACTTAATTTTTTTTCCATTACAGAGTATAAGCAATCATTTTAAGGTTTGAAAACAAACGATTTTCAGTTGTTTCTCAAAATTGATTTGCACTCGGGAAATCAATGTTCAGTTACGACAGATGTTATTGGCGCATATTTGCTATTTCTTCCAGCGACAATGTTTCTTCAATGTCAATTTGCTCTCCGTTTTACCGGTCATGATATTGTTAATATGTTGTAATGTACTGTAAACCAGATTTTTTTCTAGTACGTAGTTAAATTTTTCTACTTCTATCTTCGCAATTTTTCCTGGCGTAGATTTAAGCTCTAGTTAGAGACTTTCTATTAAATTTATATTTGTGACAAGTGGCACGCCGTTTTGTTCGAGGGCTGTGATGGGTATGGAAAAGCAGTTGAAGTGAGTCTTAATATAAGTTCTCCTTTATTCCATCTTCACATATAGCAACCTTCGCTTTAACAATGCTCTCTTTCATGAACTTCTTTCGATACGTTCTCAATAGTGTCAAATGTTGACAATGATATGTGACAGCATCTAACCAGGTTCCCCATTTTGTAATGATTGGTTCAGGAGGATGTGCAATACATCTAAAAAATTCTTCTCTTCAATCATGTCCTGGCACCCACTTCACATCCGATCCCGCTTGCTGAAAGACTTCTGTCGTCCTCCATACTTTTACTTTTTTATACTCTACCATCACTTTACACACAGCTACCGTCACCCACAAAAAATATGAAAATTGAATTTACAACTGAGGGGTACGCCTTACGTACCACATTCGCGTGAGGATATCCCAACAACTTAATCTCTCTCTTTTTTTTTTTTGAATGTGTAAACATCCGGAACCAATGATTTATACTAATTGATTCTGCTTGGAGATTTAAGAAAAATCTTTATGACGCTTGATTTAGGTTTCTTTCGCGTATAGGCCAACTCGGGCCACGCGTGCATCGTGATTCAGCAGGTGCAAGTACCTTTATTGGGGGGGGGGGGTCAGCATTTTAGCCGAATCCCCCAAGGTTGTTGGCCCTGGGGGAATGGATGATGATAGTTGAGGGATGAAAGGATACACGTATAAAAATGCACAAATACACCTATGCCCGAGGCGGGACTCGAACCCGTGGGCTCCTGGTCTGAGATCACTGCTGCACTTTCGATCTCGGCCATCTTGACCTGCCTTTAACGCTTGATATTAAAGAATCAACAGGAAAATTTAAGCGCACAGTTTCACTCAGCCGATGAACTGCATGTGGCGTACCAAGCATGTTACATAAATCCTTGTGTTATAAAGGTGGGCCCACATACGATATGAACAAACCAACATTTTCATATCTAATTCCTTCAGGCCACAACAACAGTGCATTGTTGAACACTTTCGCCATTGTTGTGTGATTTGTCGCTGCTATTTCTTCAATCGCTAGAAAATAAGCTTTCGAAATTTAATTTTGGGAGAACGTTCCTACTATTATATTACATACCAATCGTTACCATGCATCAGGTGTTTTGTCCAAAGTAACCCATGTTAGACCATCTTTAATAGAATCATGAATTTC